TGTACTGCACTAGGTAGGTAGAGTTCGTGCTGGTAGTAACAGCGGCGGTATCGAGGCGTCTCGCGCGGCAATTCGATGGGCAAGTTGAGGTGGGAAGTGTCAAAACTTTGCGAAGCTACGGCACAGCGCAAGACAGTCGCGGACAGGCATGGCAGCGGCAGCGGCAGCGGCAGCGGCAGAGGAGAGAAAGACCTAGAACTAGCAGGGGTGCCTGTGTCTGTGTCTGGACTGCTTCTGGTCTGGGATGGCACAGACAGATGGTTTGCCAGCCGTGCCTCGTGAGGGCCGGCTTCTGGGGGAGAGAATTTGACGGGAGGCCGAGGGAGTCAAATCAAACTGGACGGCACGGATCAAATCGTCGAGGGCTGGCAGCTGGCAGCGCGCCATCCAATCTTAGTGGGTAACTGGACCTGGAACTGTACAGTAAGGACGCGCCCCTCAGGGGAGTAGCCGACCCTGGCCCGTAGGGCATTTAGTGGCTGGCGCTGGCCATTCCAGCGGTCGAAGCCCCCTGGCGGCGTGAAGAAAAGAGCGGGGGCCCGCCATGCACCCCTTGAATGTGAAGCGATGCGAGGATGAGATGCCGCCTCACGGTAGCATCTGCAGGAGTACCTACATGTTACAGGTCGCATGTACGAGTGTGCCTGGCGATTACTTTGTACGTACGGAGTATTACCTAGGTACTCGTCCGAGTAGATGTATGGCATCAGTGCATTGAAGCTTCACTGCACTGCGATGCAACTGAGATGATGCAGCCCGGGGACATGGAAAGGGACGCCACAGCCAGGGGGAGGCCAATACAGGTCCAGGAACCCGGAACGGACTGCAATACTCATCATATCTGATGCATCAACATCAGCCAATACAAGTACGTCCATGTCAATACGTGTACTCGTAATGCCGTATGCACGCACATGTACCGTACCTGCGTCTGATGTACCTGCGCATGTGCTCGCTCGACGTCAATGCACGTCAACCAAGAGGTTTCGTGTCTCCAAGATCAGCGCTGCCAAGGGCTGTTTCCGACATTGGCAGCTTGTGTCTCCCCGCACAGCGGTTGCTGTTTGCAGCATTGATCTTCCAATTCTGACATGTGAAGCTTTGTATGCGCATACATACGTCACCGCCCACGGATACGAAATACATAGACTTCAAATCCTGTTGTCGTTTGAGTTTATCGCAATTTTCCATCGATGAAGCGTCGATAGGTACCTAGGTAGTAGGTATCAGACCAGACCCGGCTTTGAGCCTCCAGTCGCTATTGGCGGGCCAAATCACCATCGGCTAACACCGCAAAAGTGGCAGCACCATTGACATTGAACCTTGAACATCAACCTGAACCTTCTACAGCACCTAGCGCCAGCATCAACATGCTTTGGTACAGAAGAGTACTTTACATCACGCAGGCATCCCGTACAATGTAAAGGTGCCTCTACCTCTCAAGCCTCGAATCCAGCTGGTTGGCTCGCCCTAGCTTGTGCGCGGACCGCCTTCCGCGGGCTTCACTTGGGCCCTGCTAGGCCCTGCTAAGATTAAATGCTGAGAAGCGTGACGCTAACTTGCACCAAGTGATAGGCATTGTGTGTATTACCAAGTGCGCCCAATCCGACCAGAATGGCGATTGGATCACTGCTTGCAGCCTGTGTACAGTAGAGCAGTAATCGTCCATATCAATGACGAGTGCAAAGAACCACAGACGTTGAGGGGTTTTTCTTCTCGTGTAAGAGAGGGGAAGAGTCGGGGAATGGGAGGGTGTAAAGATCCGTTCAATTGATGCTTTTCTAAGACTGCAAGACGTAAGCATATTGAACTCTCTTTGCCTCTATTCGTGCTTGGATCAATATTATACTTTACACTACTACATAGGTACTTATACAACAACGACGACCAGCAACTCTGACTTGTACAATTAGGGCTACGCGACGGGCTGCTCCATCGACACCGAGAACGGGGCAAATACAGAGACAGAGTGAACAGGGCATCTATGCATCCGTGCTCCCTATGAGGCCTGAATTGAAGATGCTAGGTACTAGGTATGGAGGTCTAATACCTTAGTACTTGCTTTACATCTACAGCATCAGTTGGCCTCTGGCTTCATTAATTTCCACCAGCCCGACCAAGTCTGCTTACAGCATAGTTCCGTGATATTCATATTGCCAGGTAGACCTCCAGGTCTCCTCCATATGTCTCAGCTACCGTGGTTTGTTAGGCTGTTCAATTGTTACTCGTCATTCCCGCTACGGCACAAACGATACCACCTCATACCGCCACCTCGCCATACCTACTATACCTATTTGCATTGATTCCCTCTGCCAAACCAGCAAGAGACTTGAAAACACCACAAGCCGGTGGATCCCCGGCCACCGTTCCCGGACCCGCCCAAGCTCATCTCCAATTCCCTCTTGTCTGGAACCCGGCTAGCCAATGAGCACCCCAAGATGCCGCTTCGACCAGCATCAATCGCTAAACTACCGACAGCCGATCACCAGCTCGTATCAACCGAAATAAAGAGGCGCCTTTGTTACTTATTTTGTCTCTCCAGCAGCAGCTAGACAAATACCTAGTACTCATACCAGAAAGAAGAAAAGATCCCCGGCACCGAGAGACTGGATGCCGGGTTTCAGCCGCCCCCTGCAAGGCAGCCATGCGGAATCCGAAACGGTGGGAAATTCGCTTCTTCTTCTTCTTCCTTCCTGGGAGGGGAGGGAAGGGATCGGATCCTTGTGGCCCGGCTGGCTTCTCTCTGGACCTCGCCGAGTCGTTCACTGCCGGCGGCCGAGACTTCAAGCTTTCAGACTACATGTACAGACATCGACCGCCTACATAATAACCAGCAAAAAGGCAAATCCAGTCACAAGCGCACTGATGGACAAGGCTAATGTTCTTTTCTCCGACAGACCAAAGCAAAGGCTAAACGCTTGCTCCACGGCACATGGTAATACGATAATACTCGTACCGTACGAGTGGTAGGTACATGTAGTCTTCGTACCACTACGGAGCCCATTCCGTTGCGGAGTCGAGAGTTTGTGACAGGTCACATCGACCTGAGCCCAGCAACGCCGACAAAAGACGCCAACACCAGCCGGCGAGCTCACCTCCCGTGACCCCGACTTCATGTGCAGCCAGACCCAGACTCTCGGGGTCTAATTTACCGCATTACCTAACCATCCTTGCCCAGACCAGCCCTCCGTATTGCGGTAGCAATGCTAATGCTCCTCCATCGCCAAATGTCTCACCACCATCGTCACATGGCCATGTTGGCCCATCGTCGGACTCACAACCACTCTCCCTCCCCCTCCCCAACGCCGCAGAAAGAAAAGAATAGCAAGAAACCGTGCCTCTCTCTCTCTCTCTCTCTCTCTCTCTCTCTCTCTCTCTCTCTCTCTCACGCCATCCCACCACGGCACGAGCTAGCATTTGCCGCCCACGCTTCCCAGAGCAACTAGCGGCAAGCCCATCTCCCGGTAATCAGATTCTGTGCCCACCCTCATATCGGCAAACCATGGCCGTGGCCAAATGCCCCCCGGTTCTCAACTGCACGGATCCTCCAACGATCCCGCCCAACTTCCCATGCCCACGCCACCACGTTTCCAGACGCTTCGGCTTGGCCCTCCCGCGCCTCGTTTGCTTCCTGTGTCTGCAGGTGCTGTACAGACCAAATGATGCCGTGTTTCAGCACCTTGTCTTGTCGTCTCGTTTCCAAGAGTGACAGGTGATTTTTTGCCCAATACAGGCATATCATAAACATGTTAGCCCGGAAGATAGAGTACCGTACATGGATTAGTAGGCACAGCTATATGGCTATCCATACAAAATCATGCCCTACGCATACATACTGCATCGGATGAATCAATTACACCGACCCTATAGTAACCGAAAGAGCCAGCATCGTAAAGAGCTGCTTCTATCGTGAAGCTATTCTAGGGTGTCCCACGCTCCGATATTGCTCGCAAATTATCGTTGCCAACGATGCATGTACATACACGATGACATCCATTAGACACACAGATGCCTCCTCCCCCTTTGTTCGAGTCTTTCCCAGTCCTCGACGACAACGTTAGGCGAAATGGCCAACAAATGGAGGAGAGGAAAATCCCAAGCCATCCAAATTAAAGCCTTCCTTGTATCATTCGTAAATTCTAGCTTGACGATTTGGATCAAGGGAGTGACTACACGTACCCATAATCCCAGATCAATTACCCATTTCTCTAGAGGCACAAGTATTCAACGGTATAATGGAAGATTACTCTCGTATCTATTACTATCTCATTGATCCCCTTTACCAGGAGATTGAACAGATTCTCCACCAAATCGTCACTTCTGTCTCCAACATCCGTGAGACTCGAGGGCTCGCAATCGGCCCTACGCATCTAAAGGGGGGGTTTGACATGCAGGCCGCAACCTTGTCAACCAAGTATATGCAATTTTGTCATCCAGATAGGGACAATGTAGCCGTGATCAAGTACAATGCGCAAACCCTACTTCGCTTTAGACGCATCACTCGTTTCGTATTGATGGTTGAATGCTGTTGTGATTATCGTGAGACTCAATAATGATCACTCGAGGCCATCCAGGAAGAAGGATGGACAGGAAAAAAGACATCATCTTCGGTAACTGCGAATAATAAACAATTGTGGTTCAAAGACAATTGCGGGAGCCTCAGCTTACTACTTGCCATCACATCCAATGGCATGTAGTTCTCAAACAAATGTTGAGCGACTGATGTAGTAGTTCCCGTCGTCGAATATGGCCGAAATGGCGGCTGACCGGATGTTGGACCTGTCCCCAAAAGCTCCATGAGCTCGACAACCTTACGATACCCGCAGAAAAGCATAGACTAGTAGTATAGCCAAGAGATTTCCCTGCATTTATGGATGCTGACGGTCCCAGATAGATGTAATTAGATCAGGTAGGTGATAGTAGATCAAGTAGCTGATAATAGATCATGTAGTTGATGGTAGATCAATTCTATGGAATTTCACACTCTATTCATGGCTAAGCTATTTACGTTCTATCTCTGCAGCTAGGAGCTCTACCAGCGTCTCCACCTGGTTGCCACTGGAGCCTTGGTATCGAGCTTCGAAAGTGCGATTTAAGATCGACTTTATACCCACCGCTACCGATTCCATACGATTATTCTTGAGCATGTTAATCGTTTGGTCCGCGCTGGCATTATCTAAAGCAGGTGATTCTCTCAACACTACTTGCAGTTCATCTAGATTCGAGACGGCTGGAACCTCTATCATTGTACCAAAATCCCGTAAAGCATCCAGATCTTTCATCGTCCAATACTGTGATGTTGTAACGAAGACGAGAAGGCGATGTCCCTATAAATCCATTAGCCATGCTTAATATAAAAGAGCACAATCATATCATCTCATATTTACCTTTGGAGGCCTTGCGGCGATCAGCACCGTCAGAAGATCCAGTATAGAGTTAGAGAATCGTGGGCCGATTGGATTCCAGCCAATCAATCGTTCAAAATCGTCCAAGATTATGATGCTGGCAGTTGACTTGTAAGCATCTGCGAATGCCTTGTGGATGTAGTCTCGCTTTCCAAATTCGTCCCGGTACCCCGCCATGTCAGCTGGAGTCACCAGTTTAATGAACGGAAATCCGGATTCTTTGGCAATGTGCGCTGCCAGGGCTGTCTTTCCAGAACCTTTTGGGCCATGAAACAGCACGGCAGAGTGAAACCTTTGAGGGTCTAGCTTTACCAGGTCTGCGATACCCATGACCTTGCGGATAGAGGCGTCAACATGATCAGCATATCGAATTATGCCCAAGTCAGTAGCCTCTGTGAGTTTGGATTCGGATACTCCAAAGGCAGGTTGAACTTCATTCAGAGCGCTTAGAAAGTCTGCGCGAGTAATCATTGGGGGCGGGGAGTCTGTTCGAATTTGAGCCATTGTTCCCAGTTCGGTGTGACGTGACAGAGCACAAGAAGTCGCCGCTTTGACAAGACCATTGAGTTCAGCACCTGAAAAGTTCTTTGTAAGGCCTGCCAGCTCCTCCATGTCGACATCGGCGTCCACTCTGCTGTTGGCTCTCGCTTTTGCGGTGTGGATATTTAGGATTTCGAGTCGGCCTGCCTCATTTGGCAGAGGGATCTCGACGTGCACTTCGAGTCGACCAGGCCTCAAGAGGGCCTCGTCAATCAGATCTTTTCTGTTGGTCATGCCGATGAGGAGAATGTTGTTGAGCTGATCGACACCATCCAACTTGGATAGAAGCTGGTTGACAACGCTGTCGCCGACGCCAGTACCTCCGCCTGTTCCAGATCCACGCTGCTTACAGACAGCATCTAACTCGTCAAAGATGATAATGTGAAGGCCACTCTCGTCACCCTTTTCTTTGTATTCCTTTTCAGCGTCGGCAAAGAGCTTGCGGATGTTCTCTTCAGACTGGCCGACATATTTGTTCAGCACTTCGGGGCCATTGATGACCTTTGGCGGCCTGGCATTAAGGGTCTGACCAATCTTTCTCGCAATCAATGTTTTTCCTGTTCCTGGAGGGCCGAAGAGAAGCATTCCTCTGACGTGCTCAATGCCCATCATGGCAATCATTTGAGGTGGGAAGACACGGGATGCGAATGCACGGCGGAAAATGGTCGAAATTTCGCCACCCAAACCACCAATTCCCATGTCTTCAAATTTGAAATTCGGGGCAAGGATTGAATTTGGGTTTGGCTTCGAAGCCGAGGCTTTAAGATTGAAATCCCCTTTGGAATCGCGATGGAAGATGACACGAGTTTGGTTGGTAAGAATACCCCTAGCGTGAGCCTCCCTGTGCGTCTGTTGCTTGTCCCCTTCATCTGCCATGGACAGATCAACGAGGCCAACAGTCTTGACCACGATCATAAGCGGTATGTTTTGAACGTCCATGAGAATCCTCTGCCCGGGAGCGAGGACCTGGTTCTGAAAAGTATCGATGAAGATCTTGCCCAGGTGATCTTCGTCGTACGGGCCGTCTATCCTTTTAGTCGGTGAAGCGAACCCAACCTCGACATCCAAAGAGCCCAAATATGCCTTGCTGCCAGACGCAAAGGGATCGAACACCTCTCCGGTGAAAGTATCTCTCATAGCAACACGACACCATGTGCGTTGGGGGTCGGAGAGACTGATACAGCCTCGAGGATATCCTTGAATAGGCTTCGCTGTGACGACGAATTCGCCAGGTGGCTGGCCGGCATGGAGGAGAATGTAGTAGTCTGTGCCATCGCGTTTAGGAGGAAAGTCTTCGGCAGAAACAGCACACCTAGGCTGTGTTAGATAGAAGCCATATCGAGCATGGAGAAGAAGAGCGCTTACACGTTTCCGTAGATCAGTCTTGCTTGCAAAGACTTGTCTGCAACTTTCTCGACTTGCAGTGACACCACCCGCCCGCCTCCGGCCGGCTTCTCGGTAGGTCGCGATGGCTGTGGTTGAGAGTATCCTTGAGAGTATCCTTGAGCGCCGCCGCCGCCGCCATATGGCGCCTGCGGCCCACCCCCATAAGGCCGGTATGATGCGCCGCCAGGAGGAGCTCTAGACATGATGATGTGTTGTGAATTGTGTAGATAGACAGCGAGGAAAATGATTCAAGCAGTGTTGCGGGGGTTAGAAGGGGATGTGGAAGGAAGGAAGTGATGAAACAGCAGCTTCTTGTAGGCAGGAGTGACGCCCCGCGGACCTTGAATGATTGCTTGCCAGAGTGGAGCGTCGTAATGTTACCCGATTGGGCTTAGCGTCAATGATATAGGCCTATACCTAATAAGCCCCGCCAAACCCTGCGAAACTCTTCAAAGATCTTTCATTACAATATAAGAGGACAGGTTGTTATCGAATGAAAGAGAAGTGGTCATGTTGGCCTTTTATCTAGCTTTTGACGTAGCGCAGTGGCCGTGCTCAAAGAAAGTGTCGATGGCGATGGTATCATATGACCTCTTGAGCAACCTGTAACTATCGCTACTTTCCTCTAGCATCTGCTGCTTTCTTCTAGTATCTGCTATAGCTATATTCATCTAGTGTCTGCTACTTTCCTCTAGTATTTGCTACTGCAGCTATATTCATCTAGTGTCCGGTATTTTCGCTGCGTATCGTTTTCCATTAGAGACACGGGAGGCTAGATAGCAAACTCGTGGTGCTGAGTAGCCACTCCCCTCGCAAACCTTTCATATATTATACCTTGTTATCAAAGGGAAATGGTCATGCTGGCTTCCAAGCACTCAGAAAATAGCAGTGACATCATATGCAAATACTACTAGGTACCTTAGTAGGCAGCGATAGTAGCAGAAAGTGCCACATTTCGCTTGCCAAGGGAGTTTCTGGCGACTCCTTCCACAAGAATTCCAAAAAGGTTTGCCTCCACCGAACACTCTGGTAAGCTCTTTTTATCACAAGGAAGAAGAAAATTTGCGCAAATACCCGTAGATACAGTTACCAGATAACAAAGGTCCCTATGAAGTACTTCTGCTGTAGGTATTGGAAATTGACATGGTCAATGTAGGACCAGATAGGTGCTAAGGCAGTACCTTATCTGCGAAAGTACCTGCAGTAGTAGATCAACTGGAAGACCTTCCTTTCACCCTGCCCTGACACCTAAACTCCACAGTTGCCAAATCAGTAGCCAAACTTGAAATGTTTGAATACCTACTAAGGTGGCTTCTCCCTGTTAAAAACGGCCGTGAGTGACGTATCGCTACGTAGTGCTGTCCCACGCCTAGACTGCCACGCCTTTCCAAATAGGGCCTTATCTCTTATCAGATCTCCTGGGGAGTGTAACCAAGTGTGACAGCTAAGGAACCTTTGCACGACCAGCTTCGTCAGTTGAGACAGAACAATTCTGGGGGTCATTTACAGATTCCATCATGCCGCTGTAAGTCATCTAACCATAGCTCCAACATTCAGTGCATCTCACTGACGTAAACCTAATTCCAGGCACTTGCTAGGAAAAAAGTCGTGGAATGTCTACAATGCCGACAACATCGCCCGCGTTCGAAGAGACGAAGCGGCCGCCAAGGCTGCGGAGGAAGAGGAGGAGCGGCGCATGCAAGAAGTCGATGCTCAGAGACGATTAGCAATCCTGCGTGGCGAATCACCTCCTCCGATAGAAGATGAACGAGACACCGAACCAGAAAAGACCGAGGGCGCCCCCAGTAACGCGCGACCAAGATTCCCCGGTCAGGGCCGCAAGAGGAAGCGGCCTGGGGAGGACGACACCGAGTTCGAGCTGCGTTTGGCGCAAGAGAGGAGCAACGCAACATACTCACTTGTCGAATCCAGTCGTAAGCCTGCGAGCTCGGCTCCAATTGTCGATAGCGCCGGACACATTGATCTTTTTGGCGACCAACGAGCGAGGGCGCACGCAGAGAGGAACGAAGAGGCGGAAGCCGAAAAGAAAAAGAAGGAAAAGGAATATGAAGATCAGTACACTATGCGATTTTCCAACGCGGCTGGGAAAGATGGCATCAGCAAGCCGTGGTATTCACAGCGCGAAGGGGTCGCTCCAGACACTTCGTCCAAAGACGTCTGGGGCAATAACGACCCCGATCGTAAGACTCGCGATACTCAGCGAATCAATTCCAATGACCCATTAGCTATGATGAAGAAAGGCGCGTCGCAAATTCGCGATCTGAAGAAAGAGCGCATGCGGATACAAGCAGAGAGAGACGAGGAACTCAGACAACTGCATAAAGAGGAACATCGCGACAGACATGGGCATCGACTTGGAGGGGGAGAGAGGCGAGAAGGAAGAAACAGTTCAGATTCCAGAAGGCGTGATTCAAGCAGAGGGCGGTACAAATATGGGGACTCGGAGAGACGTGAGCGTCACGATGATCACCGTGAGAGGAGACGGCACAAGGAAGAGGAGCGGCGAAGGCGGCATGGAGACTCGCGCTCACGCTCCCCGGACCGGAGGCGGCACCGGCACCGGCGCGAAGAAAGATGAGAGGCGGGAGATGGACCTTGTATTATAATACCCAGAAATTAACGAATTATGACGAGCGTGCGAATTCCTCTAGCTGTTGAAACCAATCAAGCAAATTCCAAAACAACATTGGGTATCATTTCTCCGTCCACGGAAGCTTAATCTCAACGGGCTTCATATCCTGCACAACCATGTCCACCAACGCCTTCGCATCCAGGCCCCTCAGCGCCTGGTCAATCTTCCCATACGTAGCCTCGCTCAGCCCTTCTCTCTGATCGCTGTAAATATCCAAGCCCTCCTTGGTAAACAGCGTCGGCGCAAACCACGTCACCGCCCACCTCTCCGTCCTACCGTCGACCAGCGTCTCCTCCCCCCAGCCAAGCAGCTCCCAATGGCTGCCCACGAAGAAGAGCCAGCCCTTGCCGCGCCAGTCCCAGCCGCCGCCGGGGCTCTGGGTGTCGACGCCGGCGACGGACTTGAGCGCGGCGGCCTTGTCGTTGGGCTCGTACTCGACGAGGTCGTCGATGCGCAGGCGGCCGTCGGCCTTGGGCGGGAGAGGCTTGTAGCTGATGCGGACGTTACGCGCCGCGCGCCACATGGAGAGGGTTGAGTGCGTGACGGACCATGTTCGCGAGAGCCAATCGACGGTAGGGGCAGTGTTGTCGGACGTCGCTGGTGAGTATTTGGAGGGGAGTTTGAGAGCTATCGTGGGGGTTGGCTCTGCCATTGAGGCTGGTAAGTTGCTGGCTGTAGGGAATGTGCGTGAGTTGTAAGTAGGAGATTCAGCTGGAATGGATATCAAGGAGCCGTTATAATTGTTATTGAAATTGATGTCTCAGTACGAGTATATGTTCATGTAAGATGAAACAAGAAGCGCTATGACTGAGATTGCATTGTCTAAGACGCCGATGCGAGCCCAAGACCGACCGGCCGTTTATTCAGTCTTGAACACAATTGAATAAAACAAGAATATTTATAGACCTCAATTGAATATCTGATATCATTTACTGATGTAACGCGAAGCAACATGACGTTTTCCCTCTCTGCATACAGTAAGCTCCAGGGTAGCTACAACTTACCTTATTAGCAAGGGTTATGCACAGCCCCGCTTTGAAGCCCACCTCTATTGGAGGCTCAAACTCATCCACAGAACGCGTGACCCAAGGTCGCAATCAAGAACCAACTTCTGTATCGTGAGCATTTCCACTCATCATCGCATTGGAAAAAGTCTCCCAACCAGCTCCCTCCACAATCCTGGAAAAATCCCCAAATAGCGCTGTTCTCCAAACTCCATCCATCCATCACTTCACATCGCAAAAAGGCCACCACAACTCAATGGATGCGCCGCTCGACGACGACGACATGGCCCAAGCCATGGGCTTCTCCTCCTTCGGCTCCCAGAACCGACCTCAGAAGCGCAAGTATAACCCCCATGCCGACGCCATCGTCGGGTCCGACTCCGCGACTGCTCAGCGCGCAGCCAGGCCATCCGCCACCGGGTCCAACTCCACGCCGCTCGGCCTTCCCACCAGGAAGCCTGACCAGGCCGCCGCCAATGCTGACGAGATTGACCTGGATGAAGACGAGGACGAGGTTGACGGTGACGGTGACGGAGCTGCGTCAGATCCGACTGGGATCCCTGAAAAGCCAGGTGAACCATCAGCCCCGGCGTTAGTGCGCCCTCCAGGATTGCCAGATCGCCCACCGCCAGGGATTGGCTTCACGGGCTCCTCCAAAGGTCACCAGGTCAGCCATGGGGCAACCCAAGATGGCTCACGACGCACCGTCGAGTGGGAGGGATACTATGACCCTTCATCAAACGAGAATCCCTGGAGAAGACTGGAGGAATCGAGAGGCTTGCCATCCTTGGGCACATGGATCCCTCGGGGCCTCCATCAAGCAAGTGCTCCAAGTTGAAGGGGCCAACCTTTCAAGTTAAGCAAGTTTTGCTTCACCGCTACCGTTCAATTTCGACCAATGGAATTTTTGGGACATCCCACAAACACAGCATCGGCTCAAATCAGATCAGCATTACGAGCAGACAAGGATACTGCAATTTAGCTTTTTTTGAGCTGTTCCCGGATATTCGCGGTGATGAATATCATATCACGTGATGCCCCCAACCGAGACAAAGAAACTTTCAACACCCATCCTATCAACGTGGGATGACGACAGGCCCTCTGGTCTGGGGTCAGTGATGGCTTCAACACCAACGCCGAGGCGACTTCAACATCAATGGGTACGGGATGGCTCGTACGGGAAATGGGACTATTCACATCTCGGAAGCCAAGCTTAAGAGGAACCTTCACCACGTCCAAGACTGGAAACGTATACTTTTATTGCTACAGAGCTTACAAAACATCCTCATCATCTTGAATTAGACTCCAGGGTGCCCACAGCAACGCCAACAACGCCAAATAAAGTAGTACTTCCTTGCCTCTGATTCCCGCCGATACCCAATGCAGCAATATTTCATCCCCAATAGGAAAAGCGCTTTCACATCCATCACATCTCTCTGCCTCTACGGAGCACCAGCTCGTCGCACACCCCTGGTGGGGAAGAGGGCCGTCGTGGGCATTGAGGACCCTGCAGCCCTCGTGGTTTGCGCGAGATGGTCATTGGAGCCCCCCGGTCTTCCGGCAAGCTTCGAAAGAGGAGTGTACGTTTCAGCCCTGCTCCCCGATTGCCATCATCTACCCAATCATAAGTCATTATTGTCGTAAGTTTCTCGTTTCTCACCCCCACACCGTCACAGCGCCAAAACGGGGCCTGTGGCGGGTAGAACCGCCCGGTCGTAGGGCTGGTAAAGCAGCAAGAGATCTGGCATCCAACCCTGCAAGATTGCCGCGCGGTTCGCGCCAAATTCAACGTCGGTTCATGCTAGTGAATGGAACGCTTTCCTCCCCGGTTGAATTCGCCTAGAGTGATGCAAAATGTGGCCGCAAAAAAGGCTCAACTTTTGTTTGTGAATTATAGCCGTTGGTGCAAAGATTGAAGAAAATCGCTTTTTGTGAAAACGCCGGACAAAATAGTCTTGATGAAAAACACACAAAAGAAAACAGCCTGGAGGGAATGGATCTTTCCCCCGGCTTAGTTGTACTCTGGGGAGGGAAAGCGCTGGCGAGCCTTTGCATGCTCCTTGGGGTGCTTTCGAGCAGCCTTTGCGTTGAGAGATCTGCATGTTTGGTGGCTTGAATTAGCAGCGATTCTTACAAGTTATAAAGAAGCACTGTTGTTTCTGCTCTCAATTGCGCCTTGCTCCGCCACCTTGGCCGCGGAAAAGGCTAAACTTGCTAAGGGGGTGACACTTACGAAACTTTCTTCTGAGTCCACTCCAGGTCGTTGCGGACCTCCCTGGCATCCCGCATGCCCTCGGAGAAGCGTTCGCGGGTTCTCGCAAGGCGAGCCTGGGCCTGCTTCTGCAGCTCCAGGAGTTCACGGTGCTTGGCATTGAGTTTACCAGAACTAGTGGAGAGACGAATATCTTAGCCCAATTCTGATAAAGTGGTTCTCGAGCGAGCGAGAGAGAGAGAGAGAGGCATCTCGTCGTAAAGAGCGTCTTCTCTCCACTCGAGACGCCTGTGCTTTCGACCACGTGGAGGGAGACTACTTACGTCTGTGCTTGAACTGCCATGCTCCGATCCAGAGGGATGGGGTCGAACGAGTTAGAGAAGCGCTCCTGCATGTACTCCTGGAAGTCGACGCCGCTAGCGGAGCCGGTGCTTTCGTAGTCGCCGCTAGAGCTCCCAATGTAACCAGCAGAGGTGGCGGAATATCCAGAGGGAACACCAGAGGCGGAGCTCATAGTGTCATCGCATTCTGGTGGGGAGCTGGAGTATTGACTGTAGGTGGGGTATTGGCTGCCTTTGGAGGGAACAGCCATGGGCATGGAGTAGGCAGCAGTTTGGAATGAGCCAGACATGATGAATAATGGCCAATTGGAGAGGTGGATGGGCTAGAGTATCGAAATGTAGTGTGTGTGATGATGTATAAGACAAGTGACTAAGAGTTGCCGGTTGCCACAGGTAGCAGATGAGTATAAGTCTTGACGGGTTGGAGTTGAAGAAGTTGTGCTTGGGTTTGGAACAAAAGGCCAATTGTAAACTTGGAGAGGCAGTTGAGTCTTGCTGGAGAAGAGTGATACGAAAGGAAGAAGAAGAATTCATCTCAACTCAAACACAATGGCCCCTTTTATACTTTTTCAGGACCCTCCCCGGTCGTCATTGACCTAGTCAAAGGGATAAGAGGCCATGTCTTCATTCGCCGGGGCCGGCTATCCTCGACCCCGCCTGTGGTGAGTAGGCAGACAAACATGAAGTGATGGCGCTATCACCAGGGAGCAGCATGGACGAGACACTCGTGGAGACTTGCATAGTGTGAGCCGAGAGAGTACTAGCAAGGGGAGGAGGAGGCGTGGTGGTGAACGCTGTGGACCAGAAGCCTCTGTAGAGCCGGCCGAGCTTTCACCCATCCGGGATATCATTGAGCACTGAACCAACCAGAATAAAGAATTGAGAAGCAAGGTGAGGGAATGGGCAGGGGTGAGAATAGAGCCCAAACACCAGTTGGACGAGGCAATGAAAAGCATGAGGTGCGGTGGTGCAATGAGAGCCAGCTTAGACTGGACAGAAAACGGCTTCGAATTCCTTCACAAAACACACCAGAGAAACGTCGACCCCTACCCGCATATGCCGGGGGGGAGGCAAAGTTGCAAAGGCCCCGATCAGTGGAGCCGATTCCCATTGTTAGATTAGACGCGGTGTGTATAAGTGGGAAACCGTACATGTGTATTCCCAGTTTAAGGATCGGTAAATGTGCTAGGAGAAAAGGGCAGGGATGGGCGTGGGATGGGGTATGACGGAGACTCGGATCTGAGCAAGAAATATGGATTCATTTACTGATGGCTTTTCATGACCGGATAAGTGTCCCCCAGCCCAAATAAAGGCGAGGAGGGAAAGGGTGGCAGCACTAGCCATTGGGTCCAACAACAGCAACAGGGAAGCGCCATGAACCGGATGGAGATGGACACACGGACTCTGACAAAGGCAG